AAGTTATCCCCCAAACATTATCTGTCACCGTAAACCGCCGTGATGGACGCAAGGCAGGGAAGCCCGGCCTGAAGACTGAAGTTCAGTCGCTTTGAACCCTCGTCGAATATGATGTGGGCGTTCGTGGTATAGTCGTGCCAGGCGGGGGGCCATGCTGTGGCTGACGGCGGAACTGCTTTCCCTCGAAGTGCGTCTGCTGTGCGACGGCTGTCATCTTGGCACTGTTCTGCAGCAGCCCTGTCTCGTCCTGCTCATCCAAGGCAAACCGCGCCTTCTCCTGCCAGACAGGCGCCCCCCGATTCACTTGCCAACACCAGCGCGGGCAACAGAGTGGCGAGGCGGAGCGCCATGTCCGGGCACACGAGAAATTTGTCCTTTTCTGGTATGCACGTGGCGCTTGCACTTCAAACTGCTTGAGTCCAAAGGTATTGAGCCAAAATGGCTACGGAAGGCTCCGTGGAAACCTATTGGAGGCAGTCTGGACGCCGCTCGGGGGCCGTTTCGGGGCCTCTTGGGGGTTTCTTGAAGCATGTTTGGACATCTCGGGGGCTTCTTCGGGGCCTCTTGGGGCCTCTTGGGCGCCGTTCGGGGCCTGCTGGGGGCTTCTTGGGGCGGAAGGCTCGGATTGTCGGGTCGTGTTCCCTCTCTTGGGTCCCTTTTGGGCCGCCTTGGGGCCCTTTTGGGCCATCTTGTGCGCCTCGTGAGCCGTCTGGGGGCCTTTTTGAATCGTTTTGCGGCCCTCTTGGAGGCCCCTCGGGTCGTCTTGGGTCGGTCTTGGGGCCCCTTAGGGCCGTTTGGGAGCGCCGGGAAGCAGACCAAATAGTTTGCCATCAAACGTTGCCCTTCCCCCTGGACGGTGTCTGCCAACAGGGTGATGATGATCGAGTTTTGCCATTGCAATCGAACAACAGATTGGCCCACATCCTGCCCCCTGCGGCCCTAGGAAGCCACTTGGGGTAATAATATACAAAACTGGTCCGTTCAAGCCTGTGCGCCCCCTGCAGCCCTAAGAGGCCACTTAAGGCAAATAATCCGGAAATCATAATAATGCAAGAGCGAGGAGAGCGGAAGATGGAATCGCCGGCCGACGCCCGGATTTTACTTTCGGGGATAACGGAACTCCCCCTGTCAAGCGGATTCGACGAGCGCTGCCTGCTCACTGGCGTACTTCCGTGCGCTATCAGGACGGCGAGAGGATCACGAACTCTCTATGTAACGAGGACGTCCAACCTGTCAGCTGCAAGCGGCCTGCTCCCCCAGCGGTCTCCCCTTTGCACTAAAGGCCCAACGTGTTCATCGCAAATGGCTGGCAACCCAGAACATGGCCTCCAGCAGTATGCTCTCGAAAATGATGCGCTTCTCGAACACGAACCCATCCCGGCCCAGGGTAGCGGAACTCGAGGAGAGGCTTGTCCTTTGGATCAACGGCAGGCCAACCACTTTGCGGTGCTTTCCAAGCGGCATTGGGCCGACCTCGTAGCATACGGCACCCCCTGGGTCCACTGCAGACGCAGCCTCTGCAACGCCCCTGGCATCGAGAGCGAACTTGAACTGCTCCTCGATCTCGGCGTCTGGGCGCTCAGTCTCGGAGAGGACGGCGCCCCCTGGATTCTACACAGTCTGTTGCTGCTGCTCGCGCGAGTACCCCAGACCTCTGCAACTCCCTTGAAGCAATCGTTGAACGAGTTCTGCGTCGTGCAGAAGGTTTCCTGCATCTCCGCCAATTTCTTGCTTGTGAGCCAATCCTTCTGTTGACTTCGTTCATGACTTGGTTGCTATCACTCACGAGCTGTGCCTTGAACCCATGTAAAATGAGTTCTTGTTTAAAAACAGAAAAGCTCCAACATGTGCACATGTTGGTCAGGCTTCGTGTTTACCTCGCACTTGATATTCAGGATGAATAGCATCAGCTCCTCTGTGTTCTCGCCCATTGGCTAAGCAGCCTGGCTGGTAGCCTGAACCGCCTGGCTGTCAGGCTCAGCTTGAAAGTGAAGCTCTTCATGCACGTCCTGACGAGCTGAGAAGCGCTTAAGCTTCTTTTCCAAGCGTCGCTGCATGGCAGTCGGTGACCGTCTATGGTGCGCTCGTCGCCCATGTGGTGTCGCTTGTGTCATAGCTACCACTGCAGTGAGCTCAGAAAAGCTTCGGCTGACGACCAGTAGTTTGCCAGCAAACGTTGCCCTTCCCCCTGGACGGTGTCTGCCAGCAGGATGATGATGATGATCGAGTTTTGCCATTGCAATCGAACAACAGATTGGCCCACATCCTGCCCCCTGCGGCCCTAGACAGCCACTTGGAGCAGTCTGTGATACGATACAAACGGGGTCCGTCAAAGCCTGTGCGCCCCCTGTGGCCCTCAAAAGCCACTTGCGAGAGGATGGAATCGCCAGCCGAAGCCGGGCGTGCACCTGCCAGCGTGTGCTTGTCAGAATTCTTGGAAAACGCCTTACTATTGGGGATAATAAAACTGAAAAGGCGAGAAAGCCAAAAACCTGAAAAACATAAGGAACAAATTATGATTTTGGCTTCTTGGGGCCCTATTGGGGAGCCTCTTGGAGGCCTCTTGAGGCCTCTTGGCCGTGCTGGGGCCACCTGGAGCGTCTTGGAACGATCGTTCGTCGACTCGGGGCCCTCTTGGACCATCTTGGGGGCCCTCTTGGCGCGTCTCTTGGCCCCAGTGGGACCGAACAAGTCATGCGACAAGCCGCGGGAAGTCCCAACAGAGACTTCGGGAAGTGGGGTCCGGGCCTGTCAAGACCACTCAGGACTGGGACTGACGCTCCAGGGATTAGGCTCAGGTCGACCATGTCCCCCTCCAGGCGGAATTCTGGCGAAACCTAAGAAATGTTCAAAACATACCAAGAAGGACATCAAAAGCATCGTCCCCAGACTGTAGAGGGACAATCCCGACTTAAGAGTAGGCAAACGACCTCAGGGCACGCCCTCTCCGTACCCAGAGGCACGGCGGCGGATCATGCGGATGACCGCCGCCGCCGCGAGATCCCCGCTGCAGCCGTCGGGCGCCCTACCGACACTGCCCTGAGATCCGAGGCAGCGAAAGACTTCCAGCATCGAACGAAAACCACGCCCCGAACTGCAGTTTTGGAGGCGCATCGATCTGTGAGGCCTTCGGGGCTCGAGAGGAAGCGACGACGCCCGGCTCCAAAAACTTGGGACGCCGGGATCTCGGGGTCGCCACCGGCCGCCGTCGCGAGGTCCTCGCCGCCGCCGCCAGGCGCCGCGCCGCCGGACCGTCGCCGCCGCCGGGCCGTCGCCGCCGCCGCACCGCAGCCGGCGCCGGTGCTCGCCGGGGGCGCGGGCCGCTGGTGGGGCGGAGGCCACCAGGCCGACGCCGGGTGCGATCTGCTGGTAAGGCAGCGGCACCAGGTGCCCCGGGGCCGGGGCGCCGGCGCCCGGTCTGGCGGAGCGCGGCGCGGCGACACCACGCCGTCGCAGTCGCCGGCGCCGTCGGCGGCGGCAGCGGCGACGACGACCACGACGAGGGCGGCGAGGACAACGACGGCGAGGACGATGCGACCACGACGACGAGGCCGACAACGAGGACCACGACGGCGACGACGAGGACGCCGAAGACCGCGACGAGGACGACGACCAGGACTGAAGCGGTGACGATCGCGAGGAGGAAAGCGGTGACGAGGACGACGACCATGACAAGACGATCGCGACAACGGCGAACAGCACTAGGGCGGCGGCTGCCTGCAAAACGACGACGTCGAGGCCACGGGCGACGACGAGGACCACAAGGACAACCAAGACTACGACCCCGACAACGACGAACGCGACGTCGCCGGTGCCGTCGTCCTCCAGTCGCCGCTGCAGCCGCCGCCACTGCCGCCACACTCGTCGTCCTGGTCTACGTACTCGTCCACGTCCTCGTCCAGGCGGCGGCGGCGGCGACGACGGGAGGGGGGAAGAGGATGGGGAAAGGGAGGGGCAGGAGGAGACGGAGGTGGAGGGGGTAGGATGTCGGGGTCGTCCAAGCGGGGGGCGTCCAACAGAGGGGTCTTCATTCATGGCTTGGGCATTGGGCGAGGGGGGGATTGGGCGACGGCTGAAAGAAGAAGAAGAAGAAGTGGCTATGAAATCAAGGGGGACGTCATGGCTATGAAATCAGTAAAAGAGAGAAAGCGAGGATACGGAGGGCGAGGGGGAAGAGGTCGACGACGAGGGAGGGAGAGGACAATGCCGAGGACTGGTCGTGCAACTGAAGAACAGGAGCACGGGCCATATCTTGCGGGCCCTGCGCTTACAAAATTGAACGAATGACTACCACGTCTTGCGATGCTTGCCAGACCTCATGGCTAGGATGTTATGTCGCTGCCTATATCTGGCATGGGAATCCTGGGAGGGCCCTTTACAGTCGTCGTCCAGCTTACAATTCGCCGCCTGAAAAGACGTCTGATAGGAGCCACAAAGGGCGCAGACTATGGCATCCTTGGTCACCAGACGGCTGCGCCGACGATTTGCCCGGAACGGACCCCCCGAAGCCGAGCACGTCGTGCCACATGCTTCACCAGCCCAGAGCAGGGCCACCACTACGGCCTGAGTCCTTCCACTAAGAGCCTGCATCAAAATCGTGTCCCTGGACGCCATCAAACTCTGCTGACGAGTGAAAGGGGAGCTTAGCAACCTAGCCAAGCTAGCAGGAGCCCTCGCTATACTCAGGCATCGTTTACATTGCATCATTTTGACTTGATTTAAAACTCGGCTAGTCATCTCGTGGGCCGCGAGGCCCAACTTAGGGGCTCCGCGGGGGGGGGTCTGTGCGAGCGGGAGGGCCTGTCACTCTCATCATCGCGATATGCGATCTTCGCCACCACCCGCCCGAAGAACCTGGCCTGGAGCTCGGCGTGCGACAGCGGCGCCAAATAATTCAGGACGAGCGCTTCGGGCGCAGCATGTCCCAAGGCCCCCCATTTAGCAAACCGATCGGCCCATCCGTTTCCGAGATCGAACTCGAAGGTGCGCGGGGAGTCAAGGGCCTTTTCCTGCCAACGCAAGGCTGGCGCTGTCCGACCTCCAACTTCAGCGAAGACAGTTGCGCCACATATCAGCACGGGTGGCTTGCCCGTCTGCCTGGTCGCGGTGCCAGGCAACTCCCCCGCCAGGCATCGAAAGTAGATCTGCGACCGCGATGGCCACCTTGGGGAGCAGCCTGCGCGCCTGCAGCAGGGCCATGCGCTCCGCGCGTCCTCTAGGGCTCCCAACTTCGCGCTTCGCGCTCCCCGAAGCGCGAAGCGCGAATGACTTCGCGCTCTCGCGCCGCCCTCCCAAAGGGAGAATAGGAGGACGAGGAGGAGGGGGAGAAGGAACGAGGACCGCGAAGCGCGAAGCGCGAATAACTTCGCGCCCTCGAGGGAGCCCTTGCGTCCTGCTGTCTGGATTGAACCTTCACAGCGCTCCCCAGGCCCCTCGAACTGGCATGCCGTTGTCTCTGTGCTGGCAGAGACCCCGTCCACATCTCCTGAGCCCTGGCCAACTGGGGGCCGCCCCCGATTCATCAGAGAACGCCGCAGTCGACCAGGGGCCCCGACCAGCGCCCCAGTCGCCCCAGAACACCACGGGCATTTTGATGGGCACCTTCCGGAGCAACGGGGGAGCCAACGGCGCGCCGACACGCGTCTCAAACTTGCCTCGGTCGTTCCCCCCGATCCGTGGGACTCCTTTCCCCTGCGGATACCGATATACAGGGTCTAGCTTGGGGCCCCAGTGGAGGTCCTCGTCTATCGGGCCCTCGTAGAACCTGGGGCAATCATGCACCTGGCGACCGAAAGCCAAAATTGTCAGGAGGACCTTGTGGGCGCCGGGGGCGCGCCAGAGAGATCTGGCACCCTGCCTGCTTCGCACCGCTGCGAGTTCAGAGACCTCCAGACCAGAACATTCTCAGAGCACCTGCCATCCCAGGTGCACGAGCAGCCGCCTTACCTCCACCAAGGCATCGCCAAAGAGCTCGCACCCAGATAGCCTCCCCACCAAACAAACATATTGACGGCGACTGTTAACCTTTCTAGCTCGCCACCTGCGTATACTTGCTTTGAATAAGTCGGCTACGCACCTGGGAGGTATAGTCATCGCGTCACTTGTGAAATTGTTGTCATCACATATGGCGGTGCTAGATATCATGCCCCGTCCTTTTCTAGCTAGTGTAAGCCACGACGTCGATTTAGGCCCACAAGCCTCGGCATGGGTCACTTGCTGCACCATCTGTCCGCTCAATCACCGAAGCCCCGGCCCGCTGCAATCGCCCCGAGAAAACCCTCTGATCCCAAACGAAGCGAGCATGAGCCTTCGCAGGCTCCAGTGTTGCATGGAAGGTAATGTCATACATATATATATATATATGTATATATACATATATACATATATATGCATACATATATAAATATATGTATACATATTTTTAGGCCGGCGCACCCACCATGAACCCCCCTTTTCTCTTGGAAGATGCCAAGAAAAAAGGGGGCGGCTGCGGTTGGAATTTCGGGTGTCGCGTCGTGTTGTAGTGGTAGGATCTGGAGTATGTGTGTGTGTGTTGGAGACGGAGGGAGCCTGTTGAGTATCGGGTGTTGTGTTGGAGAAGGAGGCTGTTGAGTACTGGGTGTTGTGTTGGAGACGGAGGGAGTTGAGTAGAAGGTTGTTTTCAAGTTCAGCTTGGGGAGGGAGCCTGTTGAGTATCGGGTGTTGTGTTGGAGAAAGAGGCTGTTGAGTACTGGGTGTTGTGTTGGAGACGGAGGGAGTTGAGTAGAAGGTTCTTTTCAAGTTCAGTTTGGGGAGGGAGCCTGTTGAGTATCGGGTGTTGTGTTGGAGAAGGAGGCTGTTGAGTAATTGGTGTTGTGTTGGAGACGGAGGGAGTTGAGTAGAAGGGAGCCCAAAAAGTCTTCCAAAAAAGAGCCTCAAAAGTGAGTCCGAAAATCGTAGGAATCATATGTAAAATCATATATAATCATGAGAAAGGGGCGTTCTTGGTGGGTGCGCAGGGCTATATCTATATCTATATATATATATATATATATATATATATATATCCCCGCGCACGAGGCCCGGGGGCCTGGGGCCGCGACCCCGACGGCGCACGGGGGGACCGGGCGTCGTTTTCCTTATGTTTTTACAGGTTTCGGCGCCCCGGGCCAGACAGGGCCCCAAGAGGCTGCAAGGGGGGCCCCAGGGGGCCGCAGCGATGGCTCCATACGCATTTCAAGACGACCCCCACGACGCCAAGGCGGCCCCCGAAGGCCCCGAAGACGCCCCAAGAGGCACACCGAGAGTGGCCCAATAAACAAAAATCGTAGATTTCCTATGGGAAAACTGATACTCTTGGCGCGTTTGCCTTTTGGGCGCCCACTGCGTCCAAGACGGCCCAAGAGGCGCCCAAGCCGGTCGAGGACGCCCCCAAGAGGGCCCCGAGACGGCCCACGAGGGGGCCAAGACGGCCCGCGAGGCGAACGCCCCAAGGCGGCGCCCAAGACGGGGACGAGGAACCGGAAATTTTGGCCTGTTGGCCCAAGAGACTAAAGGACACCCCAAGAAAGGGCCCAGAAGTCCCAAGAGGCCCCCATGAGACCAGAAAAAAACATTAAAAGAGGCTCCGAAGACGCCCCAAGAGGCACCCCGAGAGTGGCACATTAAGCAACAATCGTAGATTTCCTATGAGGAAACTGATATTTTGGGAGCCATTTGGGCGTGTATTCGGCATTGGCGGTGTTGAGCGTGGTTCTAGCATATGTATATATTCTCATACGCACCTCTCCGAGGGAGTAGAGCTCAGAGGCGATTAGTGCGCACGCGTCCGCGATTTTTCTGGGCGTTTCGCTCGGGACATCCTCGAAATTCTGAAAATCGGTGGCACCCCTCACGCAGATCGCGACGTCAGGGCCCAAAAACACATGGGAAATTCAACATTTTAACATACAACCTTGAAAAACAAATGGTAATTTCAATAATTGTGACCCCGATTCTCAGTGAATGGCGGTTTCGCTTGAAAAATCCTTCCAAAATCGAGCCCCAGACCCCGCCTCGGAGCCTCCTGGGGGCCTCCTGGAACCTCCTGGGGCCTCCTGGGCCTTCTGAACCTTCAGGCACCCCAGACCCCGCCTCGGAGCCTCCTGTGGGTGTCCTGAAACCTCCTGAGGCCTCCTGGGGCCTCCTGCGGCCTCCTGGAGCCTCTTGGGGCCTCCTGAAGCCTCCTGGGGTCTCCTGGGGCCTCCTGAGGCCGCTTGGGGCCTCCTGGGGCCTCCTGGGGCTTCAGAACTACATGCACACAGAGACACAAATCACGCCCAACACATCACACGCTAGACAAACATAACACACACACACACACAACACCTACAAAACACAAAAAGCACGCACCACACGAAGCATACATCACAAACACACACACACACACACACACACACACACGCGCACAACACTCTCAATCCTGGGGCCTCCTGGAGCCTCTTCTGGTATCCAAGTCGGGCCTCCTAAGGCTTCCTGGGGGCCTTGGTACACACATCGCAAGGTGTGGCAACCCCACTTGCGCTCGAGTGCGACTTCGATGTTGAATGTCACTCCTGCTTCAAACGCCCCTTCAGTTTTTGCATGAGCCTGGGCACACACGTGCCACTTGTATATGTATATATACAAACACATATATACATATTTATATATATACATATATATATATATAGATTTATCGTTCTCTGCGCGGACAACACCAACGCGAGCGACGTAAAAGATGCCCGCCTGCCAGAGATCGCACCGGCAGCGCGGCGCAGCTTGGCGAGCTCGAGCTCAGACGCGCCTGATGCAGAGGCGCCACGCGCCGCGGCGGGAAAAAGACCTGAACGCCACAGCGCTGTTACCTGTGCCGCAGCACTCTTGCGTGCCATCATTATCCTCGGCATCCTAGCATTAAGCTTTCGAAGTCTCGTGGCAGCCTTTTCCTTGGTCGTTATTTCCCGGGACCTCGCGTCACACGTTGCTCGTCCATTTCTTCGCCGTGAGGCGCAGCTGCTCAGCTCGCCGGTCGAACGATCTCCAGGTCGCCCGAGAACTCGAAACCCTTCCAGATTTTTCAAGTTGACCGATGAGCCCTAGATCCCAAGCCTCCTCCTTAACATCCAAGACAGCCTCCGAAAGTTCAGAAACCTGCTCGAGCGAATTACCAATCCACTGCAGGGTATTATCATCAACCAGAGCTCTGGGCATAGCCATAGCATGCCTAACGTGGGCACTGGTGGTGGCGCGGAGCGTCAAGATGCTGAGCAGCGCCGTCGCGCGCGCGCGCGCAGCCGGCCAGGGTGCCCTGCTGTGCCCAAGAGGGCAAACTCCACCATCCATGCGCCTCGATCACGCGGGGTCGACCATGAGACTGTAGAAGCATGCACAACAGACGCAATGGATAATGAAGCACAACTGCAACGGACATCAGCGCAGGAAACAGCGCCGCCCCGAAGCGACTCCACATATCAGCAGCAATGTTGTTAGAATGTTCACCTAGCTGCGATGCTACCTCTGCTCGTAGACTATGCCCCAACGCTGCGCGCGACGACGAATGCCCGCGACGATTGCCCCATATGCGCTTGCCATCGCGTCGCTTGACCCAGGCTCTAGATTTGGGCCTGCGCATCCTGGTCCATAACCTCACCAAGCTCTCCGCCAATGCGGTAAATCCAATGCCTCCGTCAGGCTTGGCCACGCGAACCATCTCATTCACAATCCTTTGACTGGGACACAAAAGCAGCCTATCACGCTGCATAAACAGTTCCGAGACCGCCCGGAGCCCCTCGTCGGAGACGTAGCTGAAATCCCCGGGGTGGATCCTTGTGGGCGCTGGCGCTGATTCCCAAGAAAATGCCCGTATGGTCACGCGCGCGTCCTCTACTGCGACGAAGGGGAGGTCGTGCCAGTGGACGCGCGTGGAAGGGGGCAGCGCGCGCTGCGCGTCGCGACATGTCCATGCTGCGCGCCACGACCACACGTCATCATCAGCAGGCTGGCGCGGCCGCGCGCGGTCTGCGTTCATGACGTTGCGCTGCAGCGCCAGCAACCGAGTAAGACGGTGGGCCTTGCCCGCGCCATTGAGAAAGGCAGTGCTCATCCACTGCTTTCATTGTGAGATGCTGGCTTTATCGAGCTCCGTGGCGCACTCATCTGCTTGCGCAACGGCGCCGAACGTGACATATTCAAACTCTGCGAGGCCTGGAGAAGTCACTCCAGCCAAGAAGAAAGCACGAACATCAGTACTGATCACGGCCAGAACATCATGCTGCGGAGCGATCCTGCGGCTGAAAACTACAACATCAGCGATGGAAACAGTGAGGCGACCCATAATTTCCAATATTTTCTGGGTTTTTGTCTTCCCCCCCACTTTCCATATCTTCCCATAGAAATCGACGATTAGTTATGTCTGTGTGCTTTTTCCCTCCTGAACACCTGCGGCAGGAGTGCCAGCCTCTCCAGCTGCAGCGGGAGGGGCCGCCGCTGACACTGACGTGGGCTGCGCCGCAGAGCCAATGAGGCTGACCTGTGCATTTGTGACCAACTTGGGAAGCTTCTTGAGGGGAACAAGAAGTGACATAAACATAACAACTCGGAAGTCCGCGCGGAATTCTCGGATCGGCGCTGGACGCCCCTCCCTGGCGCGCGGAGCGCGCCAGGGGCGGCGCCGGAGGCGCCGCCGGGGGACCCAGCGCCGATCCGAAAAATCCGCGCGGACCTCCGAATTTTTATGTTTATGTCACTTTTTGTTCCCCTATTCTTGGCAACCTAATCACCCATCTGGTCAGCTGCCTCTCCTGCCCCAAGCTGCTCAAGTATCTTACCCAGTGCAAAGCAGTCCAAGCCAGCGGCGGCGATCTGAAAACATCATCCGGTGCAGGCGAGGGAGCGAGGGGAGAGAGAGGCAGGGAGGGAGAGAGGGGAAATGGGGCAAGGAGAGAGGCACGGACGAGAGAGGAGGGAGGGAGGGGAAGGCACAAGACGACGACGACGACGACGACGACGACGACGACGACGACGACGACGACGACGACGACGACGACGACGACGACGACGACCCCCGCCGTCCCGTCGGCGTCGCCATCCTCGTCGGCGTCCCCATCCTCGTCGACGGCGTCTGCAAAAGGCCGCCAGGGATTTCTGAAGGCCTTCGGCCCTTCTCCTCGCCCTCGTCGTCCTCGCCGCCCCTGCTGCCCTCGTCGTCCTCGACGTCGTAGTCACCGTCGTCGCCGTCGTCGTCGTCGTCGTCGTCGTCGGCGTCTTCGTCCGAGTCGTCGCCGTTGTTGTCGCCGCCGTTGTCGCCGTCGTCGCCGTCGTCATCGTCGTCGTCGCCGTCGCCATCGTCGCCGACGTCGTCGTCGCCGCCGCCGCCGCCGTCGTTGTCGACGTCAACGTCGACGTCGTCGTCGTCGCCGTCGCCGTCGCCGTCGTCGTCGCCGTCGCCGTCGCCGTCGCAGTGACCGTCGCCGTCGCCGTCGTCGTCGTCGTCGTCGTCGTCGTCGGCGCCGGCAGCGGCGGCGGCGTCCTGCCGGCCGCGAAGTGGCGCGAGTGGTCGTCGGCGGCGCCAACGCCCTGGGCGTGCGGTGGCGTCGGAGGTCCTCCTCCGTTGTCTGTCGCCCTCCTCGGCCAGGGGCCGGAGCGCGACGTTAGGGGGGGACCACCTTTAGAGGGAGAACCATCGAGCTGGAATCGGAGGTACTTCGCCGATAGATCGGCGATGACGCATGCAGGCCGTCGCTCACACGAAATTCAGCGGCGGCGGGGGGGCGAGAGAGAGACGGGTGTTTGCGGGAATCCAGGGGAGAAGGAAGAGGAGGAGGAGGAGGAGGAGGAGGAGGAGAAGGAAGAGGGAAGACCCTTAAACACACCCGTGTCGCTGCACGAGGACTGCGCTGGGCTGTGCTCTCGGTACCTCGTCCTCACCGTCCTCCAGGCCCTCGTCCTCCTCGTTCCCCTTGTGCTAGTCATCCTCAACCCCTCGTCCCCCTGCTCATCCCGATCATGTGTATCCTCCTGCTCCTCCCCCTCCTGCTCCTCATCCTCCTCCTCCTCCTGCTGCTCCTCCTCCGCCTCCTCCTCCTCCTCCTCCTCCTCCTACTCGTCCCCGCCCCCGAGGTAACTCTCGAACCTCGTCAGCCTCCTTGAGGACGCGGCATGGGAACCACAGGAAAATCAGAGAAGACGGAGGCGACGGGGGCTGCGGAGGTCGCGCAGGCGGCGGCGGCGGCGGCCGGCCACAACGTCGTCGCCGACAGCGACGGCGACGTCGGCGAAGGCGACGCTGGCGGCGACTACGGCGGCGGCGGCGACGAAGACGGCGACGGCGACGTCGACGGCGACGTCGACGGCGAGGTCGGCGACCGGGCGGCGGCGGCGCCGTCGACGGCCGTTGCGGAGGCAGCGACGGCGAGGGCGGCTGCGGGGCGGCCGCCCGCTGGCGGGCGGCAGGGGGGTGGGCCTGCTGGCCAGGCAGCATCGGACCGAAGCCCGAGCGCGGCCTCGGGCGAGAAGGGCGCGGCCGTCGGCGACGAGGGCGACGAGGGCGACTACGACGAAGACGACGAAGACGACGAAGACGACGGACGACGGCCACAACGACCACGACGACAACGACGACGACGTACGACGACGTACGACGACGGCGACCGACGAACGACCTCCGACGACCAACGACCGACGACGACCACAACAACGTCCGATGACCGACGACCGACGGCCGACGACGACGACGGAGACGACCGACGACCGACGACGACAGGACGACCGACGACAAGGGCGATGACGGGGACTAGTACGACGACAACGACGACCGACGACGGCGACGATGACCAACGACGACGACGACAACGACCGACGACCGTAGTCCGACGACAGACGATGACGACCGATGATCGACGACCGACGACAACGAGGAGGGCCATGACGACGACCAGCACGACAACGACGACAACGACGATAACGACAAACTACGACGACGACGACCGACGACGACCGTAGACCGAGCGCGATCTTCGGCGACTACGGAGCGGCCGTCGGCGACGAGGGCGACGACTGATACGACGGACGACGACCACTACGGCCACGACGACAACGAAAACCGACGACGACGACGACCGACGAACGACCACCGACGAACGACGACCGACGACAACGACCGACGACCGATGGCTAAAACGACCACCACAACCTCAGATTACCGACGAACGAAAACCGACGACGACGAGGGCGATGACGACGACCAGTACGAGGACGACAGCGACGACGACGACAACGGACGACCGACGACGACAGCAACCGACGCCCGACGACGGACGGCGACGAGGGGCTATGACTACGACAACTACGATAACTACGACGACGACGACGACCGACGACGATGGACGACGACGACGACCAACGCCGATGAAAACCGACGGCGCACGACCGTAGCCCGAGCGCGGCCTTGGGCAAAAACGGCGCAGCCGTCGGCGACGACGAACGCGACGAAGATGACAGACGACGACCACGACGACGACGAGGACGACGAAGACGACGGACGACGACCACGACGACCACGACGACCAACGACGACGACGACGACGACCGACGAACGTCAACCGACGAACGACGACCAGAGACCGACGAAAACTACTGACGACCGACGACGACGACGACCAACACAACGTCGGATGACAGACGACTGACGACCGACAACAACGACGAGGGAGATGACGATGACGACGGCGACGACGGCGAGGGCGACGACGACGACCAGTACGATCACGGCATCGGCGATAACGACGACAACGGGCGACCGACAACCGACGACGACAACGAGGGCGGTGACGAGGACGAGTACGACGACGACGACGACGAGAACGGCGACAACGACGAGAACGACCGACGACCGGTGACCGACGAACGACGCCCGTAGCCCGACCGCGTTCTTGGGCGACAACGGCGCGGCCGTCGGCGACGAGGGCGACGACGACGACGAAGACGGATGACGACCACGACGACCACGACTACAACGACCACCGACGACGACGACGTCGACGGACATACGACGACCGACCACCGATGACAACGTCCGACGACCGACGACGACGACGACGACCACCAGAACGTCAGATGACCGACGACCGACTACGAGGGCGACGACGACGACGACCAGTATGACGACGACGACGGCCGCGGCCACGACAACGGACGACCGACGACGTCGACGACCGACGACCGACGAACGGCGCCGACAAGGGCGATGACGACGACCAGTGCGACGACGACGGCGGCGACGACGACGGCGGCGCCGACAACAACGACCAACGACGACAACGACGACGACGACGACCGACGACGACGACGGACGACGACGATGTCGACGACGACGCGACGATAACGACGACGGAAGTCGACGACGACGACGACGACGGCGACGAGGGCGACGAATGGACGACCACGTCTCAGAGGGAGCAGAGCCCTCGGTGCCGGCGCCCGGAATGGGAGGCGACGATCGGCGACGGCGGCGAGGACGACGATGAAGCAGACAACAACAACAACAACAACAACAACAGAAAACAACAACAACAACAACCACAAACACAACAACAACAACCACAAAAACAACCACAAAAACAACCACCAAAACAACCACAAAAACAACAACAACAACATCAACAACAACATCAACAACAACAACCACAACAACAACAACAACACCAACAACACCAACAACAACAACAACAACAACAATAATTACTAGCACGTGGGGACACTCCGTTCTCACCAGTGCCAGGGTTTTCATAGGAGGCGGGCAATACCCCCACTTTGTGGGGGGGCCGGTTCAAGCTCTACCAAATTTCCAAACGACTCTTCGCCACCACCCACACCCAGCTTCCCGCCCTATGACGTTCGGACACTTCACTTCGTGGCATGCGGACGACCGTGGCTACTATTCAGGGCCCCGCGGCCGACGACGACGGCGTGCGCGCGCGAAGAAAAAACGAATGTGTCCCGCATGGTATTATTTGACAGGGATGATGGCCCTGGCAGGTGCGCAACCGTTGTTGCAGAAGTTCGAAAAAGTTGCTCGCAAAAGCCCATTTGACAGAAATGTTTAAAAAATGTTGGGTTTCCGACAAATCCGCAAGAGCGCGCGGGATGAAATGTTGACATTTTTTTTTTGAAAAACCATTGATGTTTTGATGTTTTTATGTTAAAATCGCTACGAAAACTAAGGTTTTGGAAGGATTTCGTCTTGCGCGCGCGAATGTCCACTTTACCTTATTTTTTGCAAGGGATTCTTGAAGTTTGGTTATGTTAGAACAAGAAATGTCCACTGTAGCTTATTTTTTGCAAGGGAAAACGGGGGACAACAAAACAACCGGATCCGGACACCCACGTTTTGCCTGAGACTTCCTCACGAAAATGATAAAAATGTGGCTGCGGCCTAGGCGCGGCGAGGGGGCCGCGCACCAGGGGTCCCAACAATAATTATTCTTTAGGATAAATAATGTTCAACAACAATAACAACAACAACAACAACAGCAACAACAACACCAACCATTCTAAGACTGTTCGCTGTTACTTGCCCGCGTGTCATCCAAAACGAGTTCCCCACACCCTCGATACCCGCCCTTTTTGTCTTCGATCACACCCCCTTTGGGGGGATTATTCCCTACCTAGGCTCTGCCTAGAAGGGTTCTTACGGTCTTGGTGTAAAAGGGCCGGGCAGTGCAAACCGCCCCGGGCGGTCCCCCCGGTCCCCTGGGAGCCAAGCGAAAGCAACAGCAAGGGTAAAAGCAAACGCGCGGTTCCCCCAGTTGCGCTCCATGGGTGTCAAGCAAAAGCAAAAGCAAAGGCAAAAGTGAAGGCAAAAACGAAGGTACAGCAAAACATAACATAGCATAGCATAGCATAGCGCAGCATGGCATAGCGCAGCATAGCATAGCATAGCATGCTGCTTTCCTAGAGGCTCCAACTCCTAGGTAGGGTCGCACTGGGATAATTTCTCTTTGCGGGGGGGGCGGCGGGCTTCGACAGGCGGGCAAACCTGAACGGGCGGACAATCCTTCGTGGGCGTACATGTGCCCGCCATTGGAATTGGTGTGGGCCCTGCAAAATGAAGAGGGGGAGAACGACGGTGAGTGGGAGGAAGGGCGGGGGAGGGACAGAGAGAGAGAGAGAGAACGAAAAAAACAAGGGGAGGAAGGAGGCAGGAGAGGGGAGGGAGAAGGGAGGAGGGAGAGGAGGGAGAGGGGATTGAGCAGAGAGGCGTAAGGATGAGGAAGAGAGGAGGGAGGAGAGGAGGGAGGGGGGAGGAGGGAGAGGGAGGAGGAGCAGGAAGGTAAGAGCGTGAACGTTCGAGGAAGTCCTAGGCGAAAGCGCCGTTCCTGAAGGAAGTCTCGGGCGGAAGCCCACGACGGGCGGGCGATCCCCTGACGGGCGGGTCGGGCGGGTGGGACATTCAAGCGGGATGCCTGAGTATGGCGAGGGTACGATTAATCAAAAAATTGTAACGGCGTCCTTTGCGCAGCGTGTTTCCTGAGCGTCGAAAGCGCGATTTCTGAATAAATTGCATGGATGCCACAGGCGAGAGCGCAATTCCTGAATAAAATGGAAGGGTTTTCTGGCGGGAGCGGGTGTCTTGATTAAACTGCGAGGAAGCCTTGATCCAATTGCAGGGAAGTCTCAAGCGGAAGCGCCGTTCCTGAGTAGATTGTGAGGCAGTCTGACATGGGAGCGGGGGTCCTGACTAAATTGCGAGAAAGTCATAGGCGGGAGCACCGATCCTGAGTAAATTGGGGGGAAGTCTCAGGAGGGGGGGTCCTGAGTAAATTTGGAGGAAGTCTCAGGCGGGAGCCGTTGTTGTTGTAATCCAGGGGGCCAGGGGCCCAGTTTGAGCACGAAGACTGCCCCTGTGAAAAAACAGGGTGCGAGCGTCGAGAGGCACACTTTGACTGAGAAAAAACAGTCTGCACCGGTAAGGGGGGATCAACAATAAGTATTCTTCAGAAATGAAAGTTCAACAATCATTCCAAGACTGTTCGCTCCTACCGGCCCGCGTGTCATTCACGATGCATATCTCAAACCCTGGATACCCGCCCTCTTCGTCTTCGATCGTACCCATTTTTGGGGGGGGTTATATTCCTTCCTGGCCACCTGTAATTGGAGGAGCCCCTAAACAGGGAAACAAAAGGGAAAAGACAAAAAGAGATGACGAAGGGATCGGAGGAAGGGAGGGATTAGAAGGACAAGAAAGAGGGACAACGATGATTTGTGCCGAGAGTTGCGATTCAGCTTGCGCCATGGCTTGCGCCAGCAATTCCAACACAGGAGAACGCAATTCCTGAAAAGGGGATGTCTGTCGGGAGCGGGGGTCTAGACTGAAGCGCAAGGATATCTTAAGCGGGAGCGCCGTTCCTTCAGTAAATTGTGAGGAAGCCTCAGACGGGAGGGGGGGCCCTGACTAAATTGCGAGGAAGTCACAGGCGGGAGCGCCGATCCTGAGCAAATTGAG